ATTTGTGGTTATCAAACAAGCTTAATTGATTTTAACTTAATACATTCAGTTTTAAGTGTTGAATTAGATTATCAAACACCACCTTAGTGTCAAAAAGCTATTTTACTCATTTGATAGCAATATACAACAATATATGCATATAATGAGAGTCTTAAATATGAATATATAAGAAGTGCCCTATGAAAAGTGTTAAACATATATCTCACACCCTTGTTCAAGTATTAGGTGTCTGACATTGGTATTTTTTATTTTAAGGAGTCCATGTAACTTAATTTCTCCTTCAACCATTGTTTACCTCAACTTTTGGTATTCTCTAGAATATATTATTTGGAGGACAACTCACTTTCTTCAATCAACTTGATTTTTCTAGGATAAACTAAAAAATGACAATGATCTTTAAAAATATAAAAATAAAAAACTAAACCAAAACTATGTATGTAACTGGTAACTATGAACATGATGGATTATCCTAGTGTTTTGTATAATGTCGTTCTTCTAACCTTACAACTTTATTGAAAGATAGATCAAGTTAAATTTGCATTAACTACATATGACCCTAAGTTTACAATAACTGCAGGTTGTGAGACCTTGTCAAGATTGAAAAAGCTGGAGACTTTATCTCTTAGTGACAACCACTTCAACAAGAGCATCATTCTATGTTTAAGTTCATTGATATCTCTGAAGAATCTTTTTCTTAGTTACGCTAACTTGGGAGATTCCTTTCCTGCCCGAGGCATGTCTATCTTTAATGTTACTCCCAAAGATAATATATGTTATCCATCCTTATCTTACTAGTATCTTCTATTTTGTTTTATTGCAGAATTAACAGTGCTGGAAAACTTGGAGATGCTGGAATTAGCTGGATGTGGGCTTAGCTCCCTAACAATGCAAGGTATAACTCAACTTCCTTGATTAACTGGATGTGGGCTTATCTTCTATTTTGTTTTATTGTAAAGGGCACAAGTATAGCATGTGGGTTGCATTGGAATGGATCGAAATTTATTTGAAAACTTCTGTCAGCTCCAGCCCAACTTTTAGAACATTAAGGGTATGTTTGTTTGGACAGACTGGATAAGGAGATATTGTAATCTATCGGACTATTAGTCCTAAGATATATTGTCCCTGAACTATTAGGTTAGACTGGATTTGTATCATATGTTTATTTAGTTATGGGATTAGATGTCTGGATTAAACTATTTTTAGTGAATCAAATGACTATTTTATCCTTTTCAATTATTTACTAAGTAATAGTAATATTAAACATAGCTTTAATATTTTATTTTATTTTGTGCACAATTAAATAAATTTATTTTTAAAAAATTAAATAAAAATAAAAATATATGTTATTTTTTAATTAAAATTTTAAATAAATTTATTTTAAATAATAATAATAATAATAATAATAATAATAATGAAATAAAATAAAACATTAATAAAATATCTATAAAAAAATATTTTAAAAAATTAAATAAATAAAACAAAAATAAAAATTAAATAAAATTATTTTATTTTTAAATTGAGACATTTAAATTTTTTTGAATTTTACTAAATATAATACATAATTAAATACTAGAGGGCAAAAATGTAATTTCATTGTCTAATCTCATGGGATGAGTTATCCCATAGTTTCTATCCCACCCCCCATGGGATAGGATTCCCACAAATATGAGATTAATAGTCCGGGGGAACCATTAGTGCAGAACAAAACTTTTAAAACAAATAATGACTAATAGTCCAATATCATACCTTAATCCTTCAAAACAAACACACCCTAAGTTTGTTGCCTTAAGTTCCTACTTTTTCAAAATGTCTAAGATTACTTGTCCAAAAGCCCAACCCCACACACACACACACACGCACGCGCGCGCACACACGCACGCACAAAAAAAAAAAAAACTATTGGGAAAAAAAAACTGTCAGGAGGCATAAGTAAAACATGAAAATTACACCTCCTTACCCCATGTCAAGAAAACCAATCTCAGTTCGGTCCATTATGAAGTGAGAATCTTTTGAAGTACTCATAAAAGCAATAAGTCTGTCATGTTTACTATGTTCTTTGTAGTTGACTTCTAATGGCATTTGATCGTGGTCATATGCTCAGATTCTAAACTACTATCTAAGTGGAGCAAGATGAGACATCTAGATCTAAGTCGTAATTCTTTCGACAAGGACATCTTACGGATTTTGGGTGCTCTCCCGTCACTTAAGTTTCTATCCTTAGATTACAATGCATTGGAAGGACCACTTTCAAACCAAGGTGCACGTATTTTCTTTTTCTTTTTTTCTTTTTTTATTGTAATTCTTGCTCTTTAAGTTAATTTTTTAAGCTTCATTTGAGTGTTAAGAAGACTTGTAGTTGGAAAATGAAATCTTACAGCTACATACCGGCTAAGTGACTTTTCACATCTTTATTTCCTTTTCCACCTCCTGGTAAGCAAACTGTGGAAACTACGTTTTCATTTATGGAGTTTTCCTTTTCTGGTTTTTCTAATCTATCAATGCCATTGAAGACCGTAAAATTTAAAATCATTTTTTTAGTTGGCCCTGAAGCACTAACTGATTGACCTGGAAAAAAAAACTGTAAAAAAAAATAATGTTGTCCCTTCACTTTGGTAACCGAGGTGCCCATTAATGTAGGTTGCATTGCCGCGCATCAAATCCAATTCTGTTCATCTCTATTTTCTTTGTTTCAATGTATTTAACATATTGTCCCTTCACTTTGGTAACAGAACTGACTTATAATGTTAGCAATTTGGAGATCCTCATCCTCTCATCGAATCAGCTCAATGGAACATTGCCAATGGAAGGTAAGAAATCATTTTAAGTTACATCGTTAATTTGTTTTCAAATGGACGTCAATTCGTCATCTCTACTATTATTATTTTTATTTTAATCTTAAGATCATTTTTGAGCTCTGTTATTTTGTAAGTTCTTTTGGCATCATTTATCTTTTATTATATGTTTTGGCAGGTTTGGCATCTTTCAACCATCTGGAGATCTTGGATTTGCAACAGAACGGTTTCCATGGGAGTGTTCCTCCATTCATAGGGGCATCTTCTCTGAAAGCTTTATATTTGAGTTCAAATAAATTTAATGGTTCTTTACCCATTCAAGGTAAAAATCTACCACGATGGTTTGTTAATGTAATTGTAACAAATTAAATGATAGACAAAAAGAAATTTAAATAAAGATGCTAATTTGCTGGGTTTTATTTGTTTTTTCGTTATTATTATTATTTAAAGTTCATTGCTTTGTGCTTGTTTAATTTGTTCGTCATTGATGAAAACTTTGAACTATCATTATCTTTCCTTTTAAGAGGTAGTCAATTTCTTATAATAACAAATATTTTGAAGAGTATCATATAAATTTCTTCTAGCATGACCAGTGAGATGGACATTACATTAATTTGTTGCTTTTGCAGGTTTATGTGAACTGAAGAAACTTGAAGAGCTCGATCTCAGCTATAACCATTTTGAAGGAATCCTTCCTCCATGTCTTAGCAATTTGACGTCTCTCAGGTTGTTTGATCTTTATGGGAACCAATTCACAGGAAACCATTTATCATCTCTGCTGGGCAGCCTCAACTCCCTAGAGTACATTGATCTTAGGCATAATCGATTTGAGGGATTATTCTCATTTAGCTCATTTGCGAACCATTCCATGCTCGAGGTGGTTGCAATTACAAGTGATAATGACAAATTTGAGGTGGAAATTGAATATAAAGATTGGTTACCCCTGTTTCAGTTGAAGGTCCTTGTGCTACCAAATTGTAATCTGAACAAGCGCTCTGGTGATTTTCCGAAGTTTCTTCTCCACCAGAACAAACTAAGTTTTATTGATCTCTCCCACAATAACTTGGAAGGTTCATTCCCAAACTGGCTACTTGTGAACAATACAAAACTGGAATATTTAAGTCTGCGGAATAACTCTTTTGTTGGTGAATTTCGTTTGTCACCATATTACAATTCTTATACTTATTGGATGGATGTTTCAGACAACCAATTAATTGGGCATATTCAACTTAATATTGGGGAGATGGTTCCATATCTTATACACATAAACCTATCCAAGAATGCTTTTGAAGGTAGTATCCCATCCTCAATTGGTAAGATGAGAATTTTGGAGGTTCTAGATTTATCCAGTAATAATCTTTCAGGAGAAGTACCGAAGCAGTTAGTCAGAAATTGCAGATCTCTTAGTTCTTTAGCGTTATCAAATAACAAATTTCATGGTCGAATGTTTTCAGATGACTTTAAATTGACTCTGATAGAGTATTTACGATTGAACGATAATCAGTTTACAGGGCCTCTAACAAATGTGATCTTCAATTTGTCTGAACTATATTTGTTGGATATTAGCAACAACAACATGTCAGGTGAGATTCTAGGTTCGATCAGTAACATGATAGGGCTGAGAACATTGATCATGCGAAATAATTCATTTAATGGTCAGTTCCCATGTGCACTGGTTCCAAATGTGTTTATGGACATCTCTCATAACTCATTTTCGGGATCACTTCCTTCTTGCTCAAACCCAAACTGGGGAGTTGTGGAGCATATGCATTTGCAAGGGAACAAGTTCACAGGATTCATTCCAAAAGCTCTTCTTAATTCATCAAAACTTGTGACATTGGATGTCTGTGACAATAACTTGTCTGGCAGAATTCCCCCGTCCATTAGGTTGCTTTCCAACCTCAGCATTCTTCTATTGAGAGGAAACCAATTGGGCGGTTCCATTCCAACACAACTGTGCCAACTGAATAAGATAAGCTTGATGGATCTTTCCAAAAACTCTTTTACGGGGTCTATACCACGTTGTTTAAGTAATATCACATTTGGGGCAATAGGGGCTACTGATCTTGCTTTCGCTCAAACACCTTTAGAATTTTATGTTGGAAATGGTTAATTTTTTCCTAAGTTAGGTCTATTTTTTAGGTGGGCCCCGAGTGTCGATTAACTCGGGATAAAGTGGTAACGCGTTCTATGCCTTCTATGTGTATGAAAATGTCCTACTTCCACATCTAGATATGGTCTTTGAGATTGGTGGCCCCGATGGCACATATGATAAAGTAGATGAAGTTGAGTTTATTACTAAGAGTAGGACTAACTCCTACCGGGCTGGCAGCATCCTTAACTTCATGTCTGGATTGGATTTGTCATGTAACAAACTAACAGGTGAAATACCTTTTGAACTAGGGAAGTTAAGTAATGTTCGTGCACTGAACTTGTCTCACAATCTCTTGATTGGACCCATCCCGAAGACCTTCTCAAACCTTACTCAAATAGAAAGTTTGGACCTTTCTTACAACAATTTGAGCGGAAACATCCCAACAGATCTAATCAATCTAAATTTTTTGGCAGTGTTCATTGTGGCTCACAACAATTTATCAGGTAAAATATTAGACCGGAAGGCACAGTTTGGGACCTTTGAAGCGAGCAGTTATGAGGGAAATCCATTTCTTTGTGGACCACCATTGGAGAACAATTGCACAGCCATTGTTGACTTGCCATACTCGCCAACAACAGCATCCTTAGATGAAACTAAGGGGAAATGGTATGATATCGATCAAGTGGCTTTTTCTGCAAGTTTTGTCGGAACATACATTACTTTCTTGTTTGGATTTGCTGCTGTTCTTTACATCAACCCGTACTGGCGACAAAGGTGGTTCTATCTGATTGAAGAGGGTATGTGGTCAAGTTATTATTTTGTTTGTAATACTGTTTACAAGCTTTTACGTTTTCAGCCTTCTGTATAATTAGCTATGCATGGTTTGTTTTCATGGACAAGCACAACAAATGTTTGTAATAGTTAACTTTCTATTTCTTATGAATAAAAAACAACTATTAGTAGCCATTATTGTCTACTTATTTTCAACCCCTTTTTTTTTTGTTGCTGATTTGAAACACTTCTTTTTTTTTCGCTACACTCGATGAATAACATGATACGTTTGAGAACATTGATCATTCGAAATAATGCATTTAATGGTCAGTTCCCATGTGCACTGATTCCAAATGTGTTCATGGACATCTCTCATAACTCATTTTCGGGAACACTTACTTCTTGCTCAAACCCAAACTTGGGAGTCGTGGTGCATGTGCATTTGCAAGGGAACCATTTTACGAAATTCATTCCAGAAGCTCTTATTAATTTATCAAAACTTGTGACATTGGATGTCAGTGACAACAACTTGTCTGGCAGGATTCCCCTGTCCATTAGGTTGCTTGCCAACCTTAGCATTCTTATATTGAGAGGAAACCAATTGGGTGGTTCCATTCCAACACAACTTTTTATTTCGAGTTTGATTTTTGTAATCAAACATATTCTCTCCTTTTCTCTATTTCTTTTATTCTTGTTGTTGTTTTGTACACAACAGAATTAAATCTTTTTAAATACAGTGAAGATTGTCCGACATTTTACAGTACTAGGCATATCTTTTATGTGTATGAAAATGTCCTACATCCACATCTAGATAGGGACTTTGAGATTGGTGGCCCGGATGGCTCGTATGATAAAGTAGACGAAGTCGAGTTTGTTACTAAAAGTAGGACTAACTCCTACCGGGCTGGCAGCATCCTTAACTTCATGTCCGGATTGGATTTGTCATGTAACAAACTAACAGACGAAATACCATTTGAACTAGGGAACTTAAGTAGTGTTCATGCACTGAACTTGTCTCACAATCTCTTGATTGGACCCATCCCGAAGACCTTCTCAAACCTTACTCAAATAGAAAGTTTGGACCTTTCTTACAACAATTTGAGCGGAAACATTCCAACGGATCTAATCAATCTAAATTTTTTGGCAGTGTTCACTGTGGCTCACAACAATTTATCAGGTAAAATATTAGATAGGAAAGCGCAGTTTGGGACCTTTGAAGCGAGCAGTTATGAAGGAAATCCATTTCTTTGTGGACCGCCATTGGAGAACAATTGCAGAGCCATTGTTGACTTTCCATACTCGCCAACAACAGCATCCTCAGATCAAACTAAGGGGAAATGGCATGATATCGATAGAGTGGCTTTTTCTGCAAGTTTTGTAGGAACATACATTACTTTCTTGTTTGGATTTGTTGCTGTTCTTTACATCAACCCGTACTGGCGACAAAGGTGGTTCAATCTGATTGAAGTGGGTATGTGTTCAAGTTATTATTTTGTTTATGATACTCTTTACAAGCTTTTACGTTTTCAGCCATCTGTATAATTAGCTATGCATGGTTTGTTTTCATGGACAAGCACAACAAATGTTTGTAATAGTTAACTTTCTATTTCTTATGAATAAAAAACAACGATTAGTAATTTAGTAGCCATTATTGTCTACTTATTTTCAACTTTTTTTTTTTTGCGCTGATTTGAAACATTTCTGTCAGCTTTTATAAGTTGGTATTTTACCCGGGATGCATTACAAGTAGGGTCCTAGACAACATATCTTGCTTTCGGAATTTTCTGGGTCGAACTGTGTAGGGGCCAGATCTGCCCCTCCGATTTTTGACAATTTGTTATTGATTTTATATTTATGAGTAAAATGTATAACGAGATGATTTTTTAATTTTATAAGAATTATTTTACTAAATTTTTATTTTATTAATATTTTATAATATGTAATGAAATAATCTCTAATTATTTCACATTTTAGATAATAGTATCAATTTAATGGACTCAATTTTATTAATACAAGAGATATATGCCACTTAATTTTTAAATTTTAAAAATCAAATGGTATGTATACTTTTCTTATGAGTAATGCTAGAGCTTAAAACATTACCCCTAAATTGGGGGTTTTTTTTTAGGGTCTCTGGTATTAAGACTTTATAGTATAAAAGACATCTAATATTTTCATAATGTCTAAGATCCCTCAATATTGATCCAAAGAAATTTCAGTCCAGAGAAATTCCAGTCCAGAGAAATTTCAGCCCAGAGAAAATTTTCCCAGAGAAATTCTATTCAGAGAAATTCTGGACTGCACAGAGAAAATCTCACATTTCTCTGGACTTTCCAGAGAAATTCATTTCAACCTAGAGAAATTTCCCTCCAACTTAGATAAATTCACTGAAAACCAGAGAAATTCTCATCTCCAATCCAGAGAAATTCACTTAACTCAGAGAAATTCTCCATTTCCAACCCAAACCAAAGAAATTCTTCATCTCCAATCCAAAGAAATTCCAATTTTTGTGATTGGGATGCCAGAGATGGAGGCAAATTTCTCTGGTTTAACATCATGGGCAACTTTGTATACATCAAGAAGATAAATACAGAGGGGAAAAAATGCAATGAAAAATTTCTCTGAGTTTGTTTTTTTGAAATTTCACTGAGTTGTCTCAGTAAATTTCACTGAGGGTACCAAACAAATAAAAATACAAACAAACAGTATAATACATACATATACATACATATAACTTCACCAATTTATTCAGTTTAGTTTCACTGAGTTTTAAATTTCTCTGGAATTTACATATCACCAACACCAAATTTCTCTGAATACATCACATATATCATCATCACCATGAACCTGAAATATACATACATATATATATATACATCAATAACCCATTTGAAAAACAAATTAATCAGATCAAAAATTTGATATTAACCTGAAATGTTAGCTTGTTGTAGGAGCCAGGAGAGTACTGTAGGGCTCTGTAACCACCATCATTGAATCCCCAAGTTCTTGCCACAGTGAGGCCATGATTTGAAGCTTGTTGAAAAACAGATGACACTTTGTTTCTCTGAGTTGGATCAGTGGCTAGATACATTAACCAGTAGGCATTGAATCCATTTGCATTGATGAGGATGAAGATCTTGCTCTTGTTCCCAATACAACAATACAGTCTCGGTGGCCTTTGTCAGATCTACGGAGGTCTCCATGAGCGAGGTCTGGACCGACGAAGGTAGATTATCTGGCGAGAAAGAAGAATTTGTTTCGATCGATGAGTGTATATCATATAAATTAGCTTTCCTTTCTATATGTATATATATATATATATATATATGCATGAATAAAATTGTAGGAGTTTCAGGGGAGTGAAAGGAGAGAGAATACCTTGAGAGAAAGAGAGACTGGTAGGTTAGCGGGGGATGAATATTAGCTGAAAAGAAAAGAAATTTAAAGATCTGGGCAAAAGCTTCCTTCTTTCATCATCAATGAATGTCTTGCGTGGTCTGTGAATTGCAGAGAAATGGTGATGATGGTGGAGGAAAGGCGCTGATCTGAAGGGAGAGGCGATCTACGACGTTGATCTGAAGGAGAGGTGCTGGCAGCAACAGTGGAGGAGGCGATAACTACGACGAAGGTGAAGTGAGAGATCGGGAAGAGAGAGATAGTGGTGGGAGGGGGGTGGAGGACCTTAAACATAATAAAATAAGACTGTGGATCTCTTACATTATCAAATATGGAAGAGGGACCTTAGACTAATTTTCTCAAATTTATTCATAATGAAATGGCAAGAGTTAGGTTTTAATTCATTGATTTCTAAACAAATAACTAACATGTAACATTCAACGCTATTGAGTGTAAATTTAAAGGTCATGTTTTAGTGGTCTTAAACATTTTTTATTTTTATTTATTAGATTATATCAATCAATGAAATAGCATAACACAGTAGTTTAACCGAGTATATTGAGATCTAATAGTTCAAAACTAAAAAAATATGTTTTAGAATTATTTAATTTTTTTTGTGAAATACTTTTTTCACAACGTTTATATAAGAAATTATATTAAATTACAAAGAACCAAAACTAATTCAGTATTTTTATGCATATATGTTGGTCTCTCCCGAACATGATTCCTAGTTCCGCTCCTAATCTTAATGCACACTATTTGTGTGGTTCAAATATAAATTTTTTGAACAAAAGTGAAATATTTGAACATAAACTTTAGAATAAAAATGAATTGTTCAGATATATATTTCGTTCACTATTTAAGTCCCAATAATTGTTTTTTGTTCATAAATTTATATCCAAACATTTAACTTTTGTTCAAAATTTTATATTAAAATAATATATACTGAGATTTATTTATTTATTATTATTTTTTTTTTGTGTAGTGTACAAATAGAATTATTCTTACTAGTGCTGCGGAAACCAAAAAAAGTTGTACCTAAGGTTCTTTCAAACTTGAGTGGTATTTGTTCCTTGTTGAAAATCATCATAAATAGTAAACTAGCAAGGTTGATGAGTTTCTTTCATAGAAGGTTGGATAAAGACCAAAAAGATGATATCTGTGTGAGTGATTTTCTGATCACACTGCCCGACTCAGTATTCAGCTGGAGAACACTGGCAGAATAGATGACGCCTGGCAAACTTGTAACAGAAAGAGAAGATTCCGGCGGTGGTTCGTCCACCTGGGGGTACTCCGACGATCAAGTCAATATATCTCTCAAAGATAATCAATAATGCTTAACTTACTAGAAAGAATATCAATTGCGTACCTTAGACCCACGGGGGTGCCTTTATTTTATAGTTACCTCAATCCAAATCCCATTTAGAAGCTTGACTTCTATGGATTCCTGTTTAGTATTTACTTTGGACTCCTTTAGAGATAAAGATAAACTCTCTAAGAGCTTTATCCTTATCTTAGCTAAGTCTCCTCTTTATTCTAGGACTCTTGTCCCTTATCCGCTTATCTCGGAATCCGATATCTTCGGAGATAACCTCGGCTTAACCAATATAACCTCGGCGTCATGACCTGGACACGTGGCAACGCGGCTGACACGTTGGCGTCACCTTGCCACGTGTCGGTTCTCAAAAATATATCTCTACAACTGCCCCTTAGGTGTTCTATTACCACGGCATTCTGAGATGATGGAACCTATATCATTCCTTTCTTTCAGTACGTCAGTTTACAGTATCTCAGCCGAAATCATTATTTTGGCCGATATGCCTTTGTTAAAGAACAAGAACTTCAAGAACCCTTTTACGCGTATGAGCTATCATACACCATAATTCAACCGTTTTTAGCCACGCGTTTCCTTCTTACTGGTTCGTACCTGTGACGCGCCTGTAAGACTACCTCTTTCTCACGTGCGCCGTCTGACGCATACGTTCTTCTAGGCGTATTGATTACTTTTTTCCGCCGTTTTCATTTTTAACAAAACATCTCTTCGATTTTTCCCTTTCACCTTATTCTCGTTTCTGAAATTTTTTTTCTCTCTCTAGCTTTTCTCGTTTCTTCCATTGTTCCAGACCTCGAGCTCTGCAACCATCGTCGTTCGCTTTCTTCGACTAGGTTCGTGCTAATTCTCCTGTCCGTCACCGTCATCTGACCTCGGAAATACTTAACACCGGCTTCGTTCTTCTTTGGTGAGTTTACTGTTCCTTCTGTTTTCAATTCTTTGATGTTTTCTTCTGCCTACTGCTATTATTGTATTTGTTCAAACCTTTAACTTGTGAATCATACATCTAAATGTGCCTTTCCACGATTTTACCCTTGCCCACATCTTGAACACACACACTATTTCACTATTTCCCTGTATTGTTGCCATTGTTCTTGGCCATATACTTCTTGTATTCTTCATGCTCTTGATAGACCATCTCTGTTCTTGATTTTGAAACTCGTTCTTTCTTTTGTTTTTTGTGCGTTTTTTTTTTTTTTTTTTTGTGTCTTTTCCAGATTTGTGCCTTCAATCTTCGTTTCCATAGATTTAGGTTTGGGATTTGTCTGTAGAACCCACATTTTAGGGAAAACTGAAACAATCCTTACAAATTTCTGCACCAGCTTAAACCTAGGTTTTTTGCCGAGGCCCCAATAACCCTATTTTGATACATCTTTTGATTGAAATCCAATACCTTTAGTTATCCCGATATCATGGGTATGTGGAAACATCGGGTAGACACCCCCTCTAAGCTAGAATTTTTTAGGCAAGAGTTTGAAATCCCAGCCGATGTTAATCTGAGGTTGGCTGGGGATGATGACTCCATCATGCCTACTGATCATTCCATGCCCTTCCCTGTAGTTGCCTTTATTGAGTGTGGACTTCGGTTTCCACTTGACCCTTTTTTTTGTCAAATCCTTCACTTCTATAAGTTGAACCCAATGCAACTCGCCATCAATTCTTACCTAGTTATCACTGGCACCATAGCCTTAGCTAAACAAGAGAATGCTAGGATTACACTTGCCGATTTCCAGTACTGTTATACCATGTGTCGCCTTAGAAAGGACACAGACTATGTCTATTACCTTAAGCCGAGATCCACCGAATACAAAAT